CAAGTAGCTGGGACCACAGGCACCCACCACAATGCCTGGCTATTTTTTTTGGTTGCAGCCATTATTGTTGTTTGGCGGGTCCGGGCTGGATTCGAACCCGCCACCTTAGGTGTATGTGGCTGGCGCCTTAGCCGCTTGAGCCATAGGCACCGAGCCTAAGCACTTTCTAATTGCTGGGCTTTATATACTATTTCACCTCCCTTAGTACATTTACCACTAAACCAGTAGCTTTCAAAATTGTTTAAAGCAGAAAAAGTGTTTATTCAAAGGAAATCTTTGGAACACAGGAAAACAGGTTTTAAGAAGGGGGTGTTGCTTTGATTAAAAGGATATGACGATGGGAAGGAGCTAAGTGCAGTCAGAGCAGTTTCTTCTTTCTCTCCTTGTCTACGGAGTCACAGGTGTGCTCCAGAAGTTCAGCAAATTCCCAGGGTCTACAGAGCTTCATCTTTAAAAGGGCTAGTTCTTCCAGTCACTTAGTCTAGTTTCTGGAATAGGACACACTGCCCCAATTCAGGTATTCCCTTTAAGGTACCAACTTCAGCCCAAGTCATTAGAAATTATTTTGGCATAATCTAACCTCTGGCAGTATACAGAAGTAGGAAAGAGAACTGAGTGGCCAGAGAAGAAGAATTTTGAATCATTAATTACCTATGCTAAAAAAAGAAATTTAAAAATACACACACAAAAAACCAATAAAAGTCATTAGGCTCCTATGAATTCCCATACCTTATTGTCCATAAGGCTCCTATGAATTCCCATACCTTATTGTCCATAATTGTCCACTGGCCCTCAGGATTCTGCTTCAAAACACAGTGGTTTCGAGAAATCATCAGAGGGCAGATTTTTGATACCAATTGGTATGTGACACCAAATCCTCGTCCTACAGTCACCTAGGAAGACAATAAAGTAAGAGACATATTCAGTCATTGTACTGAAAAGGGAGGATGTTTATAATCTTGTTCACTAGCAGTGTACATAGGTACTGACGTGTAAAACCAAACTCCTATAGAATCCAAACAATTTATCAGCTATCCCCTCTAATAGGAAAAGGCAAAAAGCTATGACAAAAGATAGCTGAAAGGAGTTAACCATGGTAGGGCTGGTAGGATTTGGAAAGGTCATCTGGTTCAATTACCCATGAGATGGAGAAATTCTGTCTCCATATCCCCATCAACTCATCTTAAACACTGCCACAAACTACAGCATTCACTTAAGGCAGGCCCTCCAACTTTTCTTTAATGGTCTGAGTTGGCGTCTTTCTCACTATCCACTGGCACGGGCTCTACCCTGGTTACCATCAGAAGAAAATCCCCAATCACCCTTCCATGTTACAACTATAAACTAACTACTGAGTCTTCTGGCTCTGTATTCCCAGTTACTTCAACCTAATTCCCAGGGCATGGGTTTGAGTATCTTGCCATTCTAATGAGGCTTTGAAAGGACTCCTGGTTTATCCCCCACCCCGCCATGCCACATTAAGAAAAATAAACATATGCCTGTAATCCTAGCACTTTGGGAGACTGAGATGGGTAGGTGCTTGAGCTCAGGAGTTCAAGTCCACCCTAAGCAAGAGGGAGACCTCATCTCTAAAAAAAGCTGGATGTTGTAGCAGGCGCTGGTAGTCCCAGCTACTTGGGAGGCTGAGACCACAGAATCACTTAAGCCCAGGAGTTCAAGGTTGCTGTGAGCTATGATGCCATAGCACTTTACCAACGGCAATACAGTGAGACTGTCTCAAAAACACCAACACCAAACATAATTTCTATTACGTAGTCAAATGCAAGTTATAGCTATTATCACTGCAGCATATAAATCAAATTAACTTTCACAGCAGGTCTAGTACACTGCCAATGTACCCTCAGACTTAGGAATGATTAAATTTCTTGGTGGTCTCCTTCTCTAAGAACTGCTACAAGTCACATCTTCCATTCTATACTTAACCCATTTGGAAAAATTTGGATTTAAGTGTAGGACCAAGACCTTTCTGAATTTTTAATCTGCCCTCAGACCAGACATATTCAATATCACTTCCAACTTTGAGTCACTCCCAAATTAATACAATGCCTTCCTTCTGTGCCTTCTTCATTCAAGACATATAAAAACATTGAAATGAGATGTAGCCAAAGGCAAAAATTTTAGGAAAGCCTAGTAAACGTTAACCCACATGATGGGGATATGCCTTCAACCAGTTATAATTCAACAAAGACTTTATATTGAGTACATATTTTCCTTCTTATCCACAAGGACAGCATGTTAACCTCTGAAAAGGTTGAAAAGAAGCCCCATATCATATCCATTATACTTTCCAGATGGACCAGTCTAGTTAACAACCCTGTGAAGGAAGGAAATGAATTCTTCTGAGGTCCAGGTCTTAGAATTCCCAGCTTGTTCTTCTCAGTATAAAAGCTACCTCTATAATGACCCATATAATATACAACAAACTTTACTGGGTACAATGAACCAAAGCCTATGGTTTTGTAGGCTTTGCTCCTTTTGAAAATCTTTCAGAATCATGCTTGTCCTCCCGAGTTGCTTGAAGACCACCATGACTGTCTCCGACCTATCTATTCCTCTCCACAAACTCTCATCTTAGTAAACACTACCACTCAACGAACTGCTCCATCCAAAACCCAGCAGCCATCTTTGATTCACCTCTGTCCTTCATCCCCACATTCAAATCATCAGTAAATTCCAATGGCTAAATTCAAATCTGGTCACTTCTATCTACAGCCACAACCTTAGTCCAAACCACCTGGCCCCTTACTGTTTCTGCTTCCATCTTAAACTTCACATAGCAGCTAGACTGGAAATGTAAAAACTTTTAATCAGATCATTTCCCTTCTTTCCTTAAACTCTCCAATCATTCAAACTTCTTCCCACGGCCTATAACATTCTGAAACCATCCACCTGCTTGTCTTATCTCATACCATGGTGCCAATACTAGATGCTTCAGCCAATCAAGTCTTTTTTGTTCTTAAACACACACACACCCCTCCCCTGAGTACTGGCCTACCTGAGGGTCTTTTCACTTGTCCCCTCTGCTAAGAACACTCTTCTCTCAGATCTTTGGGCTTCTTATCTTTCCAATTTCAGCTACTTATAAGCCTACTCTGACTACCCTTATCTAAAGTTGCAGTCTGTGTCCCCTTATCACATTACTTTAGTTATTAGCATGAACTTACAACAATCCAAAATTATCTTACTTGTTTTACTTTTCTCCTCCTCTCACTTTATAGAATATAAATTTCATGAACAGAGACTTTATTTGTTGTACTTCTGTGCCTGGCCTTGAGTTCAGTATTTGTGAATGAAAGAAATAAAGAGATCTTGCCAATGAGTCCTCCCAGATTCTAGGATGGGTGGTTTTTTCAGGTCAGAAATAGGAAACTGGAAAAAAAAGAAATTGGAAACTGGGCTCAGCACCTGTAGCTCAGTGGTTAGGGTACTAGCCACATGCATGGGGGCTGGTGGGTTTGAACCCGGCCCAGGCCTGCTAAACAACAATAACAATTACAACAAAAAGATAGCCAGGCGTTGTGGAGAGCACCTGTAGTCCCAGCTACTTGGGAGGCTGAGGCAAGAGAATCACTTAAGCCCAAGACTTTGCAGTTGCTGTGAGCTGTGATGCCCCGCACTATTCCAAGGGCAACATAGTGAAACTCTGTCTCAAAAAAAAAAAAAGAAAAAGAAAAAGAAATTGGAAACTGTGTAATGACTACTGGAAAACATAAGCAGTAGCTAGGGACTCCTATTAAAATTTCACTTGTTCCCCTGTAAAATGCTGTGGCGACCACTCCACCAAAACTCTGAGTATAAAATTTTTCAGTTTTTTGATAGTTTGCCAGAAATTCCAATAAGTTTAGAAGTCCCTCTGAATTAACAGACATATCCTTTAAACTGGAATGTTTAAGGATTTATCTGTCATCCATGTTCGGTAAAAATGTCCAGTTAAGTAGCTTTATTTCTCAGAGAGGAAACATTCCATTTTCCACTTTAATATTAGAAGGAAGACAGCCAGACTGCCTTATGGGTAGCCTGGGGAAAATAGTACAGAAAAGGTAGAAGAGTGTTTTTCTCTGAAATTGCCTCCTACCAACTCCAAACCCAGATAAAGAAAAGATTCTTTTTCATCCTTCCCTTCACTGTCTGGTCCTAGAATTTACCTTGGTATTACGGATGTTTCGCCTATACTATAGAGAGTGCAACGAGCTTATCTGGCAATTTTAGCACCACTTGTAACATAAAATTACATTTCCCATGGGAACTGAGTACTGACACTGTGAACCCTTTTAAGTTAGAGGTTATTTCCATATACATCAGTTCTGCAAGTCTTTTTTTTTTTTTTTTTTTTTTTTGAGACGGAGCCTCAAGCTATCCCCCTGGGTAGAGTGCCATGGCCTCACAGCTCACAGCAACCTCCAACTCCTGGGCTCAAGCGAGTCTCCTGCCTCGGCCTCCCAAGTAGCTGGGACTACAGGCACCTGCCACAGCGCCGGCCATTTTTTGGTTGCAGCTATCATTGTTGTTTGGCAGGCCCGGGCTGGGGATTCGAACCCGCCACCTTAGGTGTATGTGGCTGGCGCCTTAGCCAGTTGAGCCACAGGCGCCGAGCCGAGTTCTGCAAGTCTTTGCGCTTACTCACATTATTGATTTGAAAGATCATCTTGTCCTGGTCGACCATCAACTAATGCTATCTCCTTCCTCCTGGGCACAACTCCTGCTATTTCCCAGATGATTAGTAAATAACTTCAGAACTCCCTTTAAGCTTCGCATAAACCAAAAAGAGAAGAAAAGGGGGGAAAAAAGGAGAAAAGTACTGTGGCTTTTCCCAAAGGCCTAGATACTCACAGTACCTAGGAACTAGCTAATTTGAGAAAAATCTCTGCTTAATCATTTTTCCTATCAAACTACATTGGTTTAAGGAATTTATTTAAAGACACTCATTTAGGCAGACAATTTACTACAGTATTCTCCCCAATGCAATGAGAGAAACTGTTTCATTATTTTATCTGCAACATCTGAGACTTTGAGGAGACATAAAAAAGCAGGAAACTGATCTTATTTTTCTGCTATAATTAAATTGACATGCCTACTGAAATTTTGTCCAAACAAGCTTGTGCCATATGGTCTGGGGACTATTACGATACAATAAGTACGACTTCATTTCTTGGCCTTGATTCAGACCTCCCCTTCTAAACACTGCAGGCTATGCTCTAACTACTGCCTAAAACCTGACCTTGCAGACAGCCAGGCATGGCAGGCTTATTCTCCACACAGACCTCTGAGGCAAGCCACAGTCTGTTAAAATTCTCCAAGATATTACCAGCCACTGCTAACCAGAATGGGCATTTCATGTAGGGCACTGCTGGTCAGATCATAACAAGGGCAGATGAGCCTATGTGCTGACATCTGGAGATTGCTAATTCAATTCCAAGGCCTACTGTCATAAATAAGTTGGGGAACTGGAGTCCATGGTACCCACTAGTCAAGGATCCAGGGCACTCTATGCACCCAGGGAAGTGTTAACTATCTATAAATGTAGTCTGGAATAAAAATGCTTTGAAGATATAACCATTTTAAGATAGGAAGATACTGTGTAACTTTGTAACCTATAGGGAGAATCTATTTGACCTGTACTGTGCTAAGTAATAACATTGCTGATGTTTATTTCCACTGTGAGAATAAAAAGCACCAAAGGGAAAGAGGGGGCAGAGCAGTTCTTTGAGGAGATATTCTCTGTCCAGAATTGCTGGCTTTACTGTAAATAAAAGTGAAACTGCTGATCTCTCATCCACTTTTCTGTTGATTGGCTTGAGTAACAGGTGGATGGACTCCTTGTTGGGGTAACAAAGACCTAAGCTTTTGAAAGCGACCATACATGGAAAGGTCAGTGATGGAGGTGAAAGAATGAAAGCCTAATGTGGACTTTTAGGCACTAATAATGGGATAAAAAAGGCATTTTCAGGGCAGAGATGTCTTCCTGGTGTTCTTCAAGCCACAGTGCACAAGAAACTTTTATAAACCCCCGATATCCCAATATTTAAGGCTGTACTTGAATCTCTTTTCTGATGTGAGGAACCACTGTCCCAGGATGGTACTAAATAATTCACATCTTGGGACTTGGTCACACAGCCCATATGGATGTTCTTAAATAGGTTCATTGTAGAAATCCTTCCCCCATTCAAGCCTTAACCTCTTCCAGTGCAGAAATTATCTGTCCCTCTCATAGTAAATCAAACCTTGGTACTCATTAGTACCTGCTAATTAAGTTTGCATGGCTTATAGGAAAAATCTAACTAAACATACAGAACAATCAAAATACTTATTTAATTTACAATGTGGCAACCAACCACCCACTTTCACTGCAAAGGAAATTTCCATACAATTATTTCCAACAATTTGGATTATTTCCAAAACCCAAATGGTTCCCAGTCACCGCCTGGTCCCTGACCCAGTTCTCCTTCCCAAGCAGAATGCAATCTAATTCTCCCTCCTTTCTCTTCCCTCCGTCTCTAGAGGCACCACCCCAGAGGAGACATCTTTATTTTAAAAAAAGTTTTCTTAAATTTTGCACTTATTAACAAAGATGATAGGTAGCCTCTAGAGAGAACTCTGACCCCCACTCCCCGGCCTAACTCCAGGCGTACCTCTTAGGGTACACTCCGGGGACTCTGAGAAACACAGGATAAAGGTGGTCTGTCTCAATGCACCAATTTTCGCCAAAGAGTTGAAATGGAGGAAGACATTTTACATGAAAGTTTGAGTATTTTAAGAGACACAACCCAAAACTCGTAATCGTTTTCAAAATAAACTCGAGAAAGTTCACGACCTCGGCAGCCTGGCCTCAGACCCTCGGCGGTTGGGGACCCTGGTGTGAGTTGGGGCAGCTCTGCCTCAGTTCCTCGGCCCGGGGCTGGGCACCGATGGGCTTGGTGCGACTCAAACTGGAGCTGTGCCAGTCCTGTCACCTCTCATGAGACCCCTGCCCGCAACCCCAACCCTGACCCAGCTGGTCCTGCAGGCCCAGGTCTCTATCCAAGGGGCCATGGTCCTCTCGCCTCGGAGCCTCGGGCCAGGGCCTCAGTCCCCACCCCGCGTGGAGGCCCTGCAGGTGTCCCCAAGGCCGAACTCGACTCCCTTCTCTCAGTTGGTGCCCATTTGTCCTCAAACACCTCCCCCCTCAAACCCACCCCAACGGTCGCTCCAGAACCAGACTTTCCCTTCCCTACCTCAGCACCCAGCCTTCACACCCTGCTCCTCTACCCAACTCCCACCTTTCATTTTCCATCCATCCCGCCCAACCTGACGCCTTCTCTCCCTTACCCCCACCCCGCGTACCCCAACAGTACCTCGCCCAACAGGACCTTTCCCCCTCACCTCTCGCCCATCCTCCAGCAGCAGCCACTCGGCGTTCATCCCCACCCGCCGCAAGCACCAGCTCCGGCCACCGACACAGTCTCCCGTGACCAAGAAGTCTGGCTCCCCCATAGCCAACTGGACCGCGGGCGGCGGTCAGCACCGAATGGTACCCTAACCCGGGTTCCGGTGGCCTCTTCGCCGCCTCGCGGGCGCCATAACTAAACAACAGACAAAAGCAATCGCTACACGCTCGCGATCGATGCAAACAAGCTCTCGGGAAGCAAGCCCGCCCCTCCCCAAGCAGAGAAGCGGGAGCACTGCGCTTGCGCGAGAAGATCCCGGGCCAGGCTGTGCAGAGACTGGCCCGCCGGCGCTGGGGCTTCCGAGTCTTGGTGGCTCCACCCACCCCAGATCCTGCACCCGCGCGCGTCCTAGTCGCCCCAGACTTGAAACTCTCCTTACCTTTCCTTCTTTTAAAAAATGTGGGTTTATAGCGGCGCCCATAGCTCCCTGGGTAGGGCGCCGGTCATGTACACCGAGGCTGGTGGGTTGGGATCCGACCCAGACCAGCCAAAACAATAATGACAACTGCAACAACAAAAATAGCCGGCGTTGTGGCGGGCGCCTGTGGTCCCAGCTACTTGGGAGGCTGAGGCAGGAGAATCGCTTGAGCCCAGGAGTTTGAGGTTGCTGCGAGCTATGATGCC